TATTAGATAATTAAATTGTTTTTGTCCGTATTATATAAATACTTCTTAATTGCTGTCTTAAATATTGTTTACCAAAGCTAGTATTGTATAATCATTAAGGATAAATCGTGTTATTTTTAACCTTTCCTTACAAGCCAGCATAATCAAGAGTAGCTCCACAAAAATACACTTGAGTTTCCTACAACCCTATTATAGTATATTAAATAGTGTAGTGACGTCTACAGGTACTTCGATCAGTCGATTATCTACTTCATTAGTTTATCATTATTCATTGCTTCCTATATATTTTATGATTATGATTAATAAAAATGAACCAAAAATAACTTGTAACGGCATTGTAAGGAATTAGTGAAATTGTTATTGCAACTCGGCAACTACATGTTAACGATCTTGAAAATCCAAATAGCATGATGCGGAATTACAATGGTTCGAAAAATAGGTCTTAATATAGGGAAAACGAATATTGCTTCCGGCGGTTTTTTTACACATATATAAATCGAGAAAAAAAACATAAACGTTTAGAAATGTATTGCAATGTGATAATAGGCATGTATATATGTATGTATTATGTGTATACCTAACGAGTATTATTAGTAAAAACATATAAAATACTGTTAAAGATTCTTTAGGGATAATTTTAAAATGTAAAATATTTTAATTGATTATAATATAAAATTATCTCCGAAGAGAAACTTATGCAAACTTTGTTAATCACTGTTCAAGTGGCCATTCATTACGGAATAAATTATTGGTAAGAACTTCCAAGGAACATAACCATTTTTCTTTAACAAAGATATAAAAGCCCAGAACAAAATTTAACTTACATTATATTAATATTATTTCTCTTATTTGAAAAATAAAGATTTAACTGCGTTTCTGTAATCATAAAAGAAACGCAGTTAAGTCTTTATTTTTCAAATAAGAGAAATAATATGGCACAAGTTTAGAATTGGGGACATGACCCCTGGTGGAGTGGGTCGTATTTCTGGATAGGGGACGTGATAGGGAGTCCAAATGTTAAATAAATTTTTTTAAGAAAACAAAAGAGTCAAAAGTTATTGAGACTTAAAGTTACAACATTTCCATACATTTTCATATATTTCTTTACCACCATTCGGAGTGGGTGGTATTTTTAGATAGGGGAGGTGACAGAGAGTCAAAATATATTAAAAATATTTGGAGGAAACGTACGAGTAAAAAGTTATTGAGACTTAAATTTATAACATATCTAACACATTTCCATACATTTCTTTACCTAAATAAGTGATTACAACAGATAAACATACCTTTAACGAATAGTACGCATCCTTTTTTATGTACAATACATATTTTCACAACAATTAATGCTTTATTGTATTTAATATTTTAATAATTTCACAACAACACAAACAAAATGATCTTACATTTTGACAAAAGCAAAACTGTCACTTTGTTTTACATTACCGCTTAAATGACAACAGATTATATTTGATTATTTTTGCTTTTTCTGTTGGTAATATTAATAAATAAATAAAAAGAAAAATATTATTTTCACTTCATAAATACATTTAGGACTTTTTATCTGATTTATGTAAAATATATTGTTTTAAAATTGTATATTTAGTAAAAAAAATCATTTTTTTATCTGTGAATATTTTTCAGTATTATTGGTGGGTGTTCTTAAAATACCGCGAAGTTTCATAATTTGTGACTCTGTACTCTGTACTCAATGCGTGTTTTAGTTCGTCATATCTTGGTTAGGTTAGGTTAGAACAGTTAAGATTATTTATTTATTATTCGTCATATTTTGGTTAGGTTAGGTTAGAACATTTAAGATTATTTATTTATTATTCGTCATATCTTGGTTAGGTTAGGTTAGAACAGTTAAGATTATTTATTTATTATTCGTCATATCTTGGTTAGGTTAGAACAGTTACCACAACGCACTCCGGGGCAGAGGCTGACTGCTACCGGACGCGTCCCCCGGGTGGCGGATAGGGGAAGCCACTTGCGACTGTTCCCCCAGACAGGAGCTTGTGGTACCGGAGCAATCCGGCGCGGACCAACAGCCAGGAGGGGCAGGAGGAGCGGTGTCAGGAGGGCGCCGTCTCCTTCTTGGAGGTAGCGCGGTGTCTCCGGCCGTTTCGCGGTAGGAGGCGCTGCGCGGGCCGTGCTGCCGGGGCTAGCCCGTCGGTGCGGCGGCTGGAGCGGGGCCAGTTCGGTGGTCCTGCGTCTGGCGTGGGTGTCGGCAGCCATCTTGGTCCGGAGGTGGGCCGACGGTAGGGGGGCCGCGGGGGAAGAGGAGTGTCGGTATGGCGATGCGCCGCTCGTCCCTATATCCCGCGGCCTAGCGGGGCCACTACCGTTGATGGTGGACGCGGTGGGGCTGTAGGGGAAGGGGAGTGTCGGCGTTGTCGCATCCTCTACTCCTGCAGCCGTTTGGGGTGGGCTCGGTTTCGGGCGTTGTTGGAGGTTGCCCAATTTGGGTGTGGAAGGACAGGCTTAGGCCGCCTATTTTTGCAGGTTGCCCACTTCGGTGGGCGGTGTTTGGTCGTGTGGGGCTGCTCCGGGTACTTCTCTGTTCAGCAGAGTGGACTTAGGAGCAGTCTCACGTTCAGGGTTGCAAGTCTTCCCAAAATGGGGTCGTCTCGCTTGGGGCGGCCTCATGGTTGGTGGCTTCGGCCAACCGTCGGGGCGTCACGGTTGTATGCGAAAGCGGTCCCGTGGCGTCCCATATGGCGGCTGTGGGGAAAGTTGGGTTTTAGTGGGTATGCCGGTCTCATTAGCCGGAGAGTCTCCACATAACCACCCTGGGGGGGAAGTCGGGTGGTATCCGTAATAGGATTTCCCAACTATAAAAAAAAAAAAAAAAAGTTACCACAACGCACGAGCCGAGCGAACGAAGCGAGCGTGCCGCGGTAGCGGCCGGCGAGTGCCATAAATGACTAGAAAACTAGAAAATTCAAATTTCACGCAAAGTACCAATCATCTGGAGATCGTTTTGACAATTGAAAGTGACGTTTTGAAATTTCCAAGTGTCTAAATCGTAGTAATGTCAAAATAATGTATGGAAATTTTGTAACTTTAAGTCTCAATAACTTTTGACTCTTTTGTTTCCTCAAAATAATTTTTATATATTTGGACTCCCTATTAGCTGCCCTATCCAAAAATAACACCCACTCCGCCAGGGGCCACGTCCCCTATTCTAAGCTGCAGCCGATTAATGTATTTTACTTTTATAACATCCAAAATTTTTTGTTCGCGGAATAATTTTGCTAAAGTAAACGCCTTCGGTAACATATTCTTACCTGTAATGCAAACTTGTATACAATCACTCTCTGAACTATCCATTATTTTTGTTTTTTTCTTCGTGTGACTTACAACTTGTTGCCATTCACCACCATTTTCCTCATCTCTTATTCGTTTTCTTCCCAAATCATCCATCGTCTCCTCATATAAATTTGTTTGTTCCTCAAATGTGTTTATTCCAATATTGCAATACATATAGGTATACCTACAATTCTTTCATGCAAGAGATAAAGCAAAGGAAATATTTTATAGCGCGTTTTATCTCACTTGATTGCTTAAAATATTCAAAAATATTATCTATGACGTCCATGAATGTCATTATTGGATAAAAGACGATTTTTTATTAGTAGCTACTCTTTTCCGAGAACTTTCCATATATTATAAAGCCCTTTAACGATCTATTGCAAGGCACGGACCTCCCTTCACAGCGAGGGGGATCAGGCCAATAGTTTACCAAGCTGGCCAAATACAAGTCGGCACTTTGGTAGACTACACAAGTGTTTGAAAACTAGTTCTATTTTATTAGATATATAGATAGCTCACAATCTCGTTCATGATAGTTGTTCAAGATGATTACTACTTGCTAATACGGTGATGTGTTAGCCATTGAAAAATCTCAGAGGCGACCCGGGCTTTAACTTCACTTGGTTTTCCAAGCGAGTAGGTACAATACCAATGGGCTTTTACTTCCCTCCATCTACATATTTACTTTTCGCATAGTCATGATTTTTTAAAGACATTGTACGTTTTCGTTACTCTAATCATTTATAATAATTATCTCAGTAACTATGAACATAAATGTTTATTACTATTCCTAGTAACCATAATGATCTACTGCAAAGTCTCTCTAATTGAGTTCGTAAAGTCAAACAGTAAGTTGCAAAATATTGTCGTCGTAGTCTAGAAATTAAACCAACTGAACAATGATGCATTGTTTGAGCTGTGCACATTTGGAAAGTACCTATATTTGTATTATTTTAGAATGATTTAATATACTAAGAGTTATTTCAACAAGTGCAATATTAGGTATTTCATGTTTATTAAAGATTAATAAACATCCTTTTTAGTCAAAGAAAGAAATTATATCCCTACTAATATTATGATTTATGAAAGTGTCTCTGCCTATATTTTAGCTTTTCAAGCTTACACGGCTAAACAGATTTTTAAATAAAACTGTCTTTTTGGATTTTTTCTAATTTGTTTTGATTTTTGGTTTCCGACGTTTCTCCCGTGACCACGATTGCTGTAAAGCATTCGAAAAAGTTTTAATAAAAAGTTTTATTTAAAATGCCAAATATTCGCTTAATATAAATCTAAGAAAGTATTAGATAGACGAATTCATACCCACCCCGCTTAGAGTGTGAGCGGAGCTGAGCATAAACTAGTACTTAATAAAAGTTTAATCATAGTGTTCGTTCAAGCTCAAGAAAATAAAAAGATTTTACAAGAACTTAGTTTAACGCTTAAATGCTTAATAAATAAGTTTGCTCTTTTTGATCGACTTAAAATAAGGAGAGGAACTCAACTCGTGGTACTCTTTTTCGTTTTGTTTTTATATATGCTACAAGTCATGTTCGGTCATAAGAAATTCCCTTAAAATTTGTTATAATATATACATATTAATATAATACAAAAATATTACAATTACATAAAAATGTCCAATCTTATTAGGAAGTCAAATGAATCTAGCGATATTACAGTATATAAATTGAATGTTCAAGTTACTTCACAGTAAATGGCGTGCCAGAATTTCACTCACGCTTATAATCGATGGGTCGCAGTATAAACAGTGGATTGTGATTAAAAGCGTGTCGGGATCACCTGTCGCGTACATGATCAACAGGAAGATATCCGGGCGAGGTTGGAAGGAGCACGCAGCCTGCGGGGAAGCCAGTCGCCGCCCAACCGCCCAAGCGACAGTCAGTGCCTCGCGCCCTGCGCCTCGAGTAGCCCGACTAACGCGCTGATAACTCACACTCTTATCACTCCCATATCGATTCCCTGACTGATCAACAAACATTCGTTCATTCAGTGTGTATAACCGACGAAATATTAAAGAATATCGCGATTTTCAGCATCTTGCCTCAGGCGAGGTAAGTTTTTGAAATATATTTAAGTATATTATAATATTATATTCATATGGCAAGGGATTGGTATTTGATTGTTTTTTTGTTACATGTGTAAAATGTGATGAACTTTTAATAAAATACATATTTTGTTGTGTATGTTTAGTGTCGAGCTAAATTATTTTTGGAAAGTTTGTAAACGTTTAATGAATAACGGGCATTTGAATTGTGTTATACTTTTTTCATCTTCAACAAAATGTTTGAAAATCCGATTTATTTGCATAAGGGCTACGTTACATTAAACTAGCGGCTCACCCTCGCTTCGCTCAGGTTCGCCTCTAGAAAAACAAAAACAAATCTATCCCACGGGAACCGTACATTTTTCCGGGATAAAAAGTAGTCTATGTGTTATTCTGATGTATGAGCTATATTATTGTAAAGTTTCATCATATAATATATAGGTGTAAAAAATATTTATTTACACAGAAATAAATTCAGGTCTCAATTTTAGTGTAGATAAATTATTATCGTACCTATGCTACATTTTTAAGATTTTCATTCAGAAATCGTTTATATATGAAATAATATTAATATTAAATTATCAATACTATGTAACGGAATAGTATGGGAATTTAATTAATAAAAACTTTTTAACAAAAAAATAAAAACCGACTTCAAACAAAAGCACTAAAAAGTAAAAAATAACTGATTGATAGTTTTCATTTACTATACATACCTAATCAAATATTTTCGAAGTCGGTGTGCTTTGTTTTGTATGGGCTGGCACCGATTTCTAAAATATTTGATTAGGTATGTATTTAATAGGTAGGCTTTAATTACTTAGCCAAAGCACACCGACTTCGAAAATATTTGATTAGGTATGTATAGTAAATGAAAACTACCAATCAGTTATTTTTTACTTTTTAGTGCTTTTTTTTGAAGTCGGTTTTTATTTTTTTGTTAAATAGTTTTTATTTTTCCCTTTTTAGTGTAGACAGTAGTAGCAAAGTAAGGATTCTAATGTGTTAGGCTTGTCAAATCAAACAAAATAAGCCCAAACTCAAAGTATCTACTATTAGCCGTTGAAGAGTTCCACCTATCCACCTTCTGGCCTTGCCATCAGATCAGGTCAACAACACCGAACCACTGTACTATCAACGGAAATAGAAATACTTGCAAAGTTTCAAGTCAATATGACAATTATAAGTAGGTTAAATTCATCATTAGTTGTTTTTCCACCCTTAGGGGTGGTATTTTTTTTTTGAAATTTAAATGGGACCAATCTGGAAGTATACCCTTTCAAACAAAACAAAAATTGTCCAAATCGGTTAATAAATGACGGAGTTCTGAGGTAACAAACATAAAAAAAAAACATACAGTCGAATTGAGAACCTCCTCCTTTTTGAAGTCGGTTGAAAATAAAACTTATACGTAGTTTAATAATTTAAAAAATTGTTATTCAAAATTAAATTCTGTTAACACAGTACTTACTGCATTAAAAAAATATATATGATTTCTTAATGTTTAGGTTTCAATTTGTGGCGTCCTTTGGCAGCGTGGCGTTTAATATATAGGTATATAGGATGCTCTATTTAAGTGTAGTTTTTTTTGAGTATTTTACGCTATATTTTCATCAACTAAGAGGATTTTTTATGAATGTACATACATCATAGAGGGTGTTTTTCAATAAGAATTTAAAAAGTCTTTCTATTTTTATAAATGTAACATACATTGAAATATAATATTCTAATTGAGTATAAATATACATGTTGAGAGGTTATTTTTTTTAATTAAAAAGCAAACCATATAAATAGATATACTTGATATCTATTATCTTTTATAAAGTAAGATTACTAAGCAGAGTGGACCGTGAGAGCAACCCCTTGGTTGTTGTGGTATTCTCCGGCAGGCTTCCCGTGGGGGCGTCGTGGTAATTGCGTAAGCGTCCTGCAGCGTGCCATTAAGACGAGGGAGGTTCCGTCGGGTTTCAGTCGGTAAGACTGGCTTTTCTAGCCGTTGAGCCCCACATGCGTAAATGCATTTCCCAACATTATAAGAAAGAGTCAACGAGGCATTTACAGATTAAGAGATTCTCAATTATAGACAGATTGATAATAATAATAGTAGATAAGGATTTTTCTGTTAGGAATACTTGCAGCCCAAAGCTGATTATGATTTTACAGTTCCGGGTAATATAGAGCACATAAGGTAGTACACAAACCGTCGGTCGTGCGCCTGATCTCTTCTCCCCGGATCAGTCAGATTTGTGTGATTGTTCGATTGTTCTGCTAGGTTAAGAAATGAACTCACCTTGTCGTGGTGGGGGGGGGCTCAGTAGTGCCCGGCAATCCAACCGGGCGCGAAGCCAAGAAACGCACAGGGAGGTTGCCCACTTCGGTGGGCTGTGGGAGGTGGCCCTCTTCGGGGGGCGGTGTACCTTGCGGGTTGCTCCTGGTACTTCTCTGATAGCAGAGTGGACTTTGGAGCAACCCCATGGTTGTGGTGGTCTGCTTTGGCAGACCTGCCGTCGGGGCGTCGTAGTTGAATGCGTAAGCGATCCTGCGACGCCCCATTAAGACGGGGACAGAATGTAAGCTAATCGCCTAGTTATAATTCTGAGCAATATTTCTATATGACAAGGTGCAATAAAAATCAATTGCTTAAAAGCCTGGAATTATTACTTTCATTTTTAAGTCTTGTTTAATTGATTATTAATATAGAGTATAAATAATATACAAAGGCTACCATTGGGTAGCCCAGTAACGCAGCCCCACAGGTAACGCACTCACTTGGGAAACCGAGTGAAACGGGTTCAAATACCGGGTCTTCCACCTCTGATACTTTCATGAGCGAATCATTTCTAACATGATTACCACTTATCTTACGGTGAAGGAAAACATCGTGAGGAAACCTGTATGTCTGAGACAACCTAGCAAGTTTTCAAAAGACATGTGAAGTCCACCAACCCCACTAGGACTATGCCCTGATCCCCCACGTATTGCAGGGAGGCCCGTGCTCAGCACCGCGGGACGTTAAAAAGGGCTGAATACAATACAATAGAGTATAAAGAGCAAATGTTGTACTTTTTAATCTAAATTGGAACATAAATATTCTAAAAATTGGCTATACCTAATATTATTTTTTTAATAATGAGCATTTTGCTTCATCTAATCAAGTTCGTGTATGCATAGTTGATGTTTTATACTTCAATATTTCAAACGAAATGGTAATAGTGTGTGAAACAATAACAATAAAAGCCTTAGCAGTTTCATCATAGTGTTTCTGATGTTTACCATTTACGTCATACGGCGACAGACAGACAATTACTGACAATGTCTCATCAATTAGGCGGGCGGGGTCAAATACATACTTACAAAGGTAGCAAACATGAGACAGTATATAATAAGGCTTGTTGTTTATCTTATATTTTTTTGAAAACGTGCGTTAAGTATCTGCATTCAAATTCTTTTTTTTTATAGAAAGAATAATTATTGATTGCTTATATTACAATATTGACTTGATTTAATCTGCTATTTAAATTTAACATAAAATAAATAATGAAGTATGTATGATATTTTAGAATATTTTGAATTTTTGTGTTCCCCGATTTGAAAAATAGGAGTATTATGTATTTACATCTCACGATAACAATGGCATCGTATTTACCTTACGGATGAACTGATTCGGATTCCATTTTTTATTTGAAAACTAATCTTATCGATATGGTCCTTAATGATCCATCCAGTTATTTAAATCTGATAATCTACACAGTCAAATTATATCTTAGAAAGTAAAACATAATATAAGACTTATATTAAACTAGTGACGCACTGTCGCTCCGCTCGGGTTCGTCCATATTTACGTTTTAACTTTTAATATCTCAGATCATCAGATCTCAGAGATGAAATATTTTCCCGCAGTAAAAAGTATCCTTTATGATGACCCTGAAATCAGCTATCATAATACCAAATTTCATCAAAATCAATTCAATGGTTTTTCGGTGATGCGGTCACAGACAGACAAACAAAAATTCTAAAAACTATAAATTCGGCCTCTGTATCGATTATCTGATGAACAGATCAAAACAATCAAGACAAAACCGATCTTTTTAATTATTGTCAAAATATGAATCTAAAATTTGCATGTTTAAAGATGACTTTTGTTTATGGTACTTACAGTAGCATTGTGTATGTAGATTGTAGAACAAAAACTTTTTAAGCTGGTTAGTTAGAACGCGCTATTCACCAAGCGCCAGTTGACGGTCGTTTAAATTCTCTTAAAAAATGTACAATCTAACGTAATGTCCAGGATCTACCTACTCGTATGTCAATGAGTAACTGATTTGAATTCTACGATAAACATTTTAAGTATATATTCAATTTAAACAATGAGATAGTTGATGAAAGTTATATTAAACACATGTTTAAAAACTATATTCTTCTGAAATATTAAATTACCTATCTGCGTATCGGGAGCCGTACTTTTTAGTTCAGTGCAGTTAGTCATTACAAATGAAAAATGACAGAATGAATGGATTTGAATGATTTTTTTTCTTTGCGCTTTTAATACCATAAACTAAACAGTTTACCCGTTAAAAATAACCGCTGTTTTGAAAATCCGTAAACTAAAAAAAACTATGTTTCTAGAAATCTCCACAAAAAATACAATTTTCGAAATTTTTCAATATGTATAAAAAAATAATTATAATAACTGTTACAGTTTTTGAATTGGTTTATATAAAACTTTTTACAATTAACCATAACATAGTTTTTACCATAGTTTTTAGTACTTATACTATTTCTTAAAAATTTCTTAAAAATTTCTTAAAATTCAAAAAATCCAAAATCATCTAAATCCATTCATTATAGCTGGTTCCCAGGTATAAACCTAATTGCACT